GGGCAAACCCTTTCTGAAGACAAATGTAATTCAACTTGTGACCTCTTAATGTTTGTTTGAAATGTTCAAAGGATATCCAAATGAATGAACAAACAGTGCTGATGGAGGTAGAAAATCTATAAAGCAAGAAGTGGCCCGTTCAGTTGCAAAGCAATGTGGAGTGCAGTCCCAGCAGTTAAATCAAAACACCTTGCTCCTTCATTGTGATGGAAAGGGGTGTCCTCCTTGCACTCTCGCTATGGTGGCGGAAATTTTTTAACACGTCCACGTACTGCTGCATGTGTAGAATGAAATTGGTCAGTTCAGGGAATCGTCCATTTGAAAACCAGGAATAGACTGAAGACCTTCGTTGCTGGGAAGCTGGTGACTGTGAATCACAATTTAAGATTACAGAAGAAAATGGCATCTGAAAAGATGACTCAGTAATCACGAGACAAAGAGGAAGAAGGGGACGCTGATGAATTTGACGCCAAAGATGTAAACGTAGCAGTTGAAGCTGGTAAAGAAAAATAACAAAAAGCAAGATGCTTGTAGAGTTGGCCACCTACTTAGCATAAGTGCATTTAAAAATGACTGTTTCTTGCATAATTGCTGTGTTTAATTTTTCTTTTGTAACTGTTCAGTCTTGAAGTCCATTCACATTTAAATGTTAACCTGTAAAATTAATTATTCTTTAATTTTCTAGAGCTTCATTTCATTGTTTTTCATTGTTCTAGTTAAAATAACTCAGTTCAGTAATTTGTTTTTGTAATTAAGCAAAAATACCTAAGGCTAGGGCTACTGGAGACCACCAAGTCTTACTTTTTTTTGTGACTGTTCTAATTTGTGCTTAAAATATTTGTCAGTTTTTTGACAACTGGTCAATAATTAGCCAAATGTTATCTTTGGACCAGTCTTGGGTTTTATGGACTGCAGGAGATTCTTGTAGCAATGGTAACCAAAACGAAGGGCAGAAATGCTACTCTAATCACAGAAGTAGATGAGTTTGCTGTGTTAATATGGTATTTGCACGTGAATAGAGCTGAAGTGACTCGCTCTCTGTAGGTCTATAGATAAATGTGTACACTTGAACATATTTCCCATTTTTTTCCCTGTTGTAATGTGTGTCCAACCATACAAGCCCAAGATTCATTCTTGCCCATGTCAGCTGGACCTCAAACATTTGGAATGGCTTGACTGTACACTTGCTTTCCCTCAGATTGGTCGTCTCAGCAAATAGTGTAAAAAGATAGAGCAATATTTATCCCTTTTTCTTTCCCAGATACCAACTTGAATTATTTCCAACGAGGAAGTAAAGTGAGAGTGTCTTTTTGTGAAACTAGAAGGCTGGAACTGGGGGCTGTTGTAGTGTATAAAGTGTCCTGCATCCCTGCTTTCTCTTCTTTAAAGCATATTTTCTGATAACTTCAACTCTTTTGTAAAGACTGCCCGGTCACTTTCTTGAAACAACTGGGTATATCATACTTGGTGAAGCACATGAGAATGATTTAGCAGGGGCTGCAGGTTTGTAGAAATTTTGGTGGTGCCCAGAGCCAGCCCCCCCCAACTCTGCTCCCCACCTGCCTAAGGCTCTGGGAGTGAGTTTGGGGGAGGGGGGAGGAGGTCTGGGGTGCAGGCCCTGGGCTGGTGCAGGGTGCAGGCTCTGGGAGGGAGTTTGGGTGGGGAAGGAGGCCTGGGGTACAGGCTCTGGGATGGAGTTTGGGTGCAGGCTTTGGGGTGGGAGTGCAAGAGGGGGTGAGGGGTGCAGGCTCTGGGATCGAGTTTGGGTGCAGGCTCTGGGCAGGGGGTCAGGGTACAGGCTCTGGGAGGGGGTGGGGGGGTGCAGTGCTTACCTGGGGCTCCTAGGCAGGGCAGGCCAGGGGGCCTCCGCATGCTGCTACCCCCAGGCGCTGCCCCTGCAGCTTCCTATGGGGCGCTTAGGGCGGGAGCAGCGCAGGTAGACACAGACCCACCTCAGCCAAGAGCCACAGGGAGGGGCTGGCAGCCATATGGAGCGAGCAGGCAGGAAGCCACTCGGCTCCACTACGCTGCTGGTGGTGGGTGGGGGCCCTGCGCCATTTTAAGTTGCCCAGTTGGGAGTGCCCAGGAGTGTAAGGTGGGGCTGAGGGAGAGACCGGGCCTCAAACATTGTTGGAGCCGGGCCCTGGGGCAGGAATATTCCTGATGCCCAGGCACCACGGGCCCATAGAACTCACCACCCATGTGGTTTAGTACAGGGGTTCTCAAACTTCATTGCACCGCAACCCCTTCTGACAAAAAAAAATACTACACAACCCCAGGAGGAGGGACCTAAGCCCGCCCAAGCCCCACTGCCCCAGTGTGTGTGTGGGGCTCAAAATCAAAGCCCAAGGGCTTCAGCCCCAAGCAGGGGGCCTGTAACCTGAGCCACGACCCACAGTTTGAGAACCACTGGTTTAGTATATTTGGTGAAGCTATTCACTTTATGGTAACACATATGGTTAAATTGATCCTCTAATCCCTAATACCATCTGAACTTACTTTGGGGCCTGTGCAGCCAAAATGTGGGATGCAATGATCATTCCAGGGAGCTGTGAATATTTCACTTCATCACAATTAGGATTAGTTCTCAGAGTGGAGAAACTCCCTTAACACTAGAAATATTTTGAGTTTGATGTAATTGGGTATGGAATTAAACTGTAAATTGTTTACTTCTCTTGGTAAGATTCAGGTTGATGTTTTGCAGCAAAATAAGACCAGCAGGCGATTTGAAATGTGGGTGCCTCCCAAATCCATAGTTAGGCATCTCAACCCCAAATTGCTAAAGTAATCTCGTCCTTACAGGGGAGAGGTCTAACAGGAAAAAAAAATCCTTCGGAACTTCTGATTTATCATCCACTGAATTGTTTGCTTTTTATCAATCATCTTTTCCAGTGTGGTCAAAAGGAAATAATATTTTTTCTTTATAAGGGGAACTATTATTGAGTTTACAGTCTATGATACTTAACTGGGGTCACTTGCTTTTGTAAAAAACATGTTTAAAGGGAGCCCGAGTCAGGCTTCGTGAACACCAATGTTAAAGTTTGTTATTATTTGTTTTTGGTATTTATTATCTAACCTATATTAGTAGAAATATCAGTCACTCCCTTTTTATACCAAACTAGTAGTAATGAAATATCTACGTCTTGGCTAATGTGTTAAATGTTCTGTTTAATTTTTTCCATCTATCCCCAAAACGGGAATTACTACAAGCACAAATATATAATATAAAAAACCTAAACCCTTGAGTAACTTTCATTCCACCCAAAACCTCTCCACCTGCAAATAAATACATAAATCTAATGGCTCCTTCAAGCAAGACAGAATTTATCCCTCAAGCTGGATTGACACCTCATATCTTGAGTCAGGTCCTTCAAGATTGTTGCATAGTTAATAAAGTTGAACAAAAGGGGCCACAAGCTCCTAGGAGTAGCTTCTCAAGGAGTACTTAGAAGCTTATATTATGCTCCTTACTTCTGAATCACTTCCTCAGTGGGCAGGTGTCCTTTGCAGCTGGAACTCTAACAGCAAAAACACTAGATTAATGTTGACAAAACCTTGTTGCTACAAACCAAAACCTCATCCAGAGCTTCACACTGAACTACTGTTGTCCAACATCATTTTTTTTAGATTGGTCTCTGTATTAGTATAAATTGTTGCATCGGATGCAAGAGTGCAGTGTAGCTAAAGCAAAAGGCATTTTAACCCACTTGCATATCCAGTGCATACATTACGTTAGAAGGCTCCAGTTAAAATGATTGTTCCCTATTTGCAAAACCATAACTGTTTTTAAACATGATCTCTCTAATATTACCGGCAGGGCTTGTAGCATGTCTGTTACTAAGGTTGCCGGACGCTTCCCATTATAAGATCCTGTTTTCAATTTTTTGTAACTATGGCAGCATTTAACTGTTTGGGCTGGAATTTTCTATGTCAGGAGACTGTCTAAGGCTGATCTTTTTTTGAAATTTCAGCCATTTTGGAGGGGAAAGTGTAATTTTATGTTAAAATTTCTGGTGGTGATATCTTTCAGCAGCTCTAGTGCACCCATGCTTTGGTGCAAGGACTTTACATTTGGTGGGATGGGGGTGGGAGCAGGGGTGTAGCCTTTGTTCAGAATGCGTTGTTGGCTGTTTTCATGAAAATTTGGCCAAATTATAAGCCTTTGAAAAATTGTGATTTACGCATGCTCCGTATAGGTTCATTTTAGCAGCTAAATTCTCAGATTCTGTTGGCACTGAGCATCTTCTACTTTGGAGCTCAATGAAACTTTCCATTGGAGCTGTGCTGGATCTTGGTCTGGGCACTGGAACTGAAAGTAAGGTGCCTCTCTTGTGGTCTCATATTTCCCCCACTGGTGCACAGGAAGTGTGAAGGAAGAAGCTGCCTGGATTTGAATGCAGCGGGAATAAGGCAGACATGGGGATGGAGGGTGGACTAAATCGGAGCAAAGACAAGGTGGGCAGGGAGACTGGCAGGTAGAGATGGAAGCTGAAATTGACTAGGCAAAATGACTGGGACTGAGGATTAGTGGTAGGGTTGGGGAGAGGTCAAAGATCTGACAAAAAGCAAGATTGGGAAAGGAGCAGGGAGAACTGGGACTGGCTGGGCAAGGACTGGGAGAAGAGGCTGAGGTGTGGGGGGGAAAGAAGATTGGATGAGTCGCTGAGGGAGGGACACTTGGACTGTACGAAAAAAAGTTATGTAACAAAAACCTATCATAATTAACAAAGAGGCAAAATTAAGGTTGCACAAGCAAATATGGGGATTGACTTTGCAGGCTCAACATTCCTTTAATGTAGTTTGTGTGTAGTATATTTAATATACAGTACCATTCAGGGTTCACTAGGTTGGTTGGCTGTAGTTTCACTGCATATCTTCCCAAGCCCAGCTCTTTAAACCATATTTTAATTTAAATTGTTTTTTAGCTTATTGGAAATATAGAAGTGGTATTACGTTTTAATTTTTTAGAATACTGACAAACGTTTCTTCTACTTCTTTAGGCGAGGTTTAAATCCACCCCACAGGGTTAAATCTATCTCCATGACCACATTCACGCAACAGGAAATAGAATTTCTGCAGAAACATGGGAATGAAGTAAGTGCTTATTTATTGTAGAATACCTAATGTTTGGTGAATGACTTAATTTGTTCAAATATTTGATTTTAAGAATTTCTCTAGAGAACATACAAGTGCTGCAGCCCAAAAGTAGACTGAAGAATTCCATCTTCTGAATGGACATTTTAAAAAAGAGAATTTCTTTCAGTTACCATGGGAAAACATTGTGATTTTGATCAATTAATGCACTATTCACTAACCAGGAGAGACCTGGGGTCATACAGCTGGAACCTTTACCCTTCTTTTTAGGTGTCCATTTCCCCTCCCTTGGCTTGGAGAAAGTCTAGTCAGGTGCTTGAAGTATGTCAGTCCGTTATGCTGCAACTCCTATTACCTTCTGCTGTGTGTTCCTGAGAGATGCAGTATGCACTCTTATTTTCCTGCCCTGTAAGCTCCATCCATGGAGACTGAAGGCATCACCAGTGTCTGAAGACAAAGAATATTAAACAGAATAAATCTGTTGCATGCTCTTATATCTATCGTGCACATGGCAAAAAGTCAGTAAAAACAGGTCAGTAAAATCAGTTCTTAAAGCCCTGGAGGGGAGGAAGGGTAGCAGAAGGAAAGGGGGCAGAGAACTTATTGGAGCCCACAGTGGAAGTATTACAGCATTATGGATTAGAGCAGTGGTCACCAACTGGTCGAACGCAATCGTCTGGCCGATCCTGAAGACTCTCCCAGGTTGATCGTGATCTCTGGCTGGTGATGTAGTGGGGCTGCTGCTAAGGCAGGCTTCCTGCCTGCCCTGGCCCCATGCTGCTCCCGAAAGCAGCCAGTAGGCCCCTGCAGAGGGGCAGGGGTCTTTGCGCTGCTCCTTCCTGCAGTCACTCCCCCCGCAGCTCCCATTGACCGAGAACGGTGAACTGTGGCCAATGGGAGCTCCAGAGGCAGTGCCTGCAGAGGGGCAGCACACAGAGCCAGTTCCCCCACCCCCCCTCTCCTGGGGCCACAGGGGTGCATTGGCCCCTTCGAGGAGTGGTGTGGGTCAGGGGCCTGGCAGGGAGCCTGCCTTAGCCTTGCTGCGCTGCCGACCAGGAGCCACCCGAGGTAAGTGCCACCCGGCGGAAGCCCGCACCCCACCTCCCTGGCCCAACCTCAGCCTGGAGCCCCCTTCCGCACCCCATTCTCCTGCCCCAGACTCATCCTGGAACCAGCCCCCTTCTGCATTCTGAACCCCTTGGCCCAAACACAGAGCCCACACCCCCCCCTGAACCCGAACTCCCTGCCCCAGCCCAGTGAAAGTGAGTGAGGGTGGAGAGAGGGTGTTGGAGTGAGCAGGGCGGGGCTTTGGGGAAGGGGCAGGGTAGATCCTGTGTTGCACTTAAATTCAAAAAGTGATCTTGTGCATAAAAAGGTTGGAGACCACTGGATTAGAGACTACTTACTTATGCTTTAAGAGAATGTTGACAAGGCAAGTCACAAAAATGATTAGGGCTATCAAAAAATTTAAAAAAAAATTGATTAATCTCACTGTTAGTAATAGAATATCAATTGAAGTTTGTTATATTTTTGGATGTTTTTCTGCATTTTTCAAATATATTGATTTCAATTACAGCACAGAATGCGAAGTGTACGGTGCTCACTTTATATTACAAACATTTGCACTGTCAAACGGATAAACAAAAGAAATAGGATTTTTCAGTTCACCTCATACAAGTACTGTAATCTCTTTATTGTGAAAGTGCAATTTACAAATGTAGGGGTTTTTTATTACATAACTGCACTCAAAACCAAAACAGCGTAAAACTTCAGAGCCTGCAGGTCCACTCAGTCCTCCTCCTTGTTCAGCCACTAGCTGAGACAAACAAGTTTGTTTACGTTTACAGGAGATAATGCTCCCTGCTTCTTATTTACAATGACACCTGAAATTGAGAACAGGCATTCGCCTGACACTTTTGTAGCTGGTGTTGCAAGGTATTTATGTGCCAGATATGCTAAACATTTGTGTGCCCCTTCATGCTTCGGACACCATTTGAGAAGACATGCTTCCATGCTGATGACAGGTTCTGCTTGATAACGATCCAAAACAGTGCGGACTGACACATGTCCAGTTTCATCATCTGAGTCAGGTGCCACCAACAGAAGGTTGATTTTCTTTTTTGGTGGTTCAGGTTCTGTAGTTTCTGCATTGTAATGTTGCCCTTTTAAGACTTCTGACAGCATATTCCACATCTTTATTCCTCTGAGATTTTGGAAGGTACCTCAGATTCTTAAACCTTGGGATGAGTGCTGTAGCTATCTTTAGAAATCTCACATTGGTACCTTCTTTGCATTTTGTTAAATCTGCAGTGAAAGTGTCCTTAAAATGAACAACATGTGCTGGGTCATCATCCAAGACTGCTATAATTGCTATGAAATATATGGCAGAATGCGGTAAAAGGGAGCAGGGGGACACACAATTCTCCCTCAAGGAGTTCAATCACAAATTTAATTAACACTTTTTTTTAAACGAGATCATCAGCATGGAAGCATGTAGGTAAGCATGAAGCTTATAGGCGCTGAAGTTTTACTTTGTTTTGAGTGCAGTTGTGTTTTTTTTTTTTTTTTAATTACATTTATAAGTTGCACTTTCACCATAAAGAGATTGCACTACAGTATGGTAGGGGAATGGGGGGGCGGGAAGGTTAGCTCAGTGGTTTTGAGCATTGGTCTGCTCAACCCAGGGTTGTGAGTTCAATCCTTGAGGGGACCATTTAGGGATCTGAGGCAAAACTTGGGGATTGGCCCTACTTTGAGCAGGGGGTTGGACTAGATGGCCTCTTGAGGTCCAACCCTGATATTCTATGATTCTGTGATACTTCTATTAAGTGAATTGAAAAATACTATTTCTTCTGTTTATCACTTTTACAGTGCAAATATTTGTAATAAATATAAAGTGAGCATTATACACTTTGTATTCTGAGCTGTAATTGAAATCAATATATTTGATGTAGAAAAACATCCAAACATATTTACAACACATTTCAGTTGGTATTCTATTATTGTTTAACAGTGCGATTAAAACTTATTAATCGTGATTAATTTTTTGTTAATCGCATGAGTTAGCTGACTGACAGCCCTACAAATGATCATCCTTTATAACAAAGTATAAGCATGTTCTTTGATGACAATCTGGTTCAGCTTTAAGAATGAAAGTGGGAAAATCTTTTTTAAAAAGCTGCTTTTTTTGTGGTGATACATAGCACTTTCTGAAGAGTTTGACTAGCAATCAGTTCTAGACCGACTTGAACAAAATCTGAAGTTATTAGTCTAATTATGAAATTGTTTGGCTCGTAACCGTTTAAAATCAAACATTTAAATCAGAATAGTGTTGCAGTTTCACAAATCTTCAAGTCGGCTTGAATACGTTATAAAATATTGTAGCTTTGTGTTGGTTTGGGGGTGTAGCTGGGGCTCTGAATGTTCTGATCACAGTGTAAAACTCTGATCATGGAATTTGCTACAGATACCACCCTCTTGTTCATAGCATTATGTTCTAGAATCAAAGTTTAATTTAAAATATTACGATTGCCAAGAAAGCTTTTCATTGGTCTATATTCTGTTCACACTTTCAGTGTCTTCAAAAGTTTGCAACAGTGGCTAAGAGGTGCAAATAACTGCTCTTTTACTACATGAAGATAACTGTAGCAGAAATCAGAGTAGCAGCTGTGTTAGTTTGTATTCGCAAAAAGAAAAAGGAGTACTTGTGGCACCTTAGAGACTAACAAATTTATTTGAGCATAAGCTTTCGTGAGCTACAGCTAAGTTCATCGGATGCATTCAGTGGAAAATACCACTGAATGCATCTGATGAAGTGAGCTGTAGCTCACGAAAGCTTATGCTCAAATAAATTTTAGTCTCTAAGGTGCCACAAGTACTCCTTTTCTTATAGCAGAAATATACAGCTAATGCTTCACCCATAATACTAAACTCCGTTTTAAGGTGCCAAAACCATCAAACCCCACTGTCTCTTTTAATTGCTTCTGTGTTGCATTTGTATTATCAGTCCAAAGATCTTCAGTATGTTGAAAATTAAATGGTACAACATAGGTGGCTTGAGTTTAATATCAAAACAAGTAACATGGGGATCACTGTGCTGACTGTATTGTTCCCTTTTCAAAATGCTGCTTTGACTTAAACAAAGCTGCTCCAGAAACCAGAGGGCCTCACTGGGTAAATTGGTTTCAGGTTGCCTTAGAGACACAGTAGCTTGTCCTTAGCGGTGTAGTATCAACAAGAGTAGATATCTTTAGTATAAGTTAAGTAAACTTAGATGAAGTATAAATGTTGATTACAGAGCATCTCTCGGATAGTGCTTTAATGTTTTAGTCAAAAAAAAAAAAAAAAGAATGGAACAATTAAAATATACTTGATTTGTTAAAATAAGCATTTTTTTTCTGTTGTCCTCTTGAGATATAAAATAGTCCAGAATGTATCTGATTTCTGGAGAAAATTGGAGTATCCCAATGAAACGCTTACTTTATTGGCCTAATTTGCTGCACAAAGTAGCACATTTTATGTACATCTTGAAAGCAGAAATAAGAAATAATATCATTTCGTAGGAAAACTGTTGGACAGTTTCTTATATCAGTGCTGTTGCTTTGCAGGGCTCTTTAACAAAATTGATTAGAAGTTGGCTGTCTAAGATATCTAATTTTAAACACTCCATTCCAAAAAACTTTCCCAGTTCTACCTGTTTAAAAAAAATACTTGCCCTGATTTCCAGTAATCTGTCTTTTGGCACTTTATCTTAAATTTTGACCTTTGTAGCTGAACAATGATTCTTTTCAATTTTGTCAATCAAAAATTCATTTAAAAATTTTTTTAAAGGAAATGCCTGACCTGTAACAATGTCTAGTGATTTAAGGTGGCCTTGTCTAGCTCTTTAGAAGGCCAAATCCATGAGTAATCCATCCTAACTTGTGACTTAGACGTGAAACAGTTGGGTGCATTTTCAGTGGCATGCTGTAAAAATTTAACTCACTCAAGTTGTTAGCTTT